CTCTCTCTCTCTCTCTCTCTCTCTCTCTCTCTCTCTCTCTCTCTCTCATTCAGTGACCCTCCTGACAAACTGAAGCATTATTCTGGAGGATAAACTTGAGCCCATCAGTGAAAATAACCTTATTAAATATCTATTGTTGGTGGGGGTATATCAAATACATTTCAGTGAAATGAGCTGCATTAAAGCAACAAAGGGTGCATTTTGGAATGTGAAAGGTGATATCTTTATTTCTTTAACAATTCACCAAACACAATTTGGAGGTGCAGCTCGGATAATTACAGCGTAGGGGGTTCTGGGCTGCCTGGCCACGCCACGAACACAATAGCAATAAAATGAGTCGCCAGTCACATGCTGACCTTTTGAGACATTTTTAACAACCCTGGAAATACTAAGAAGGGCCGTATCTCTCTGAAGTACTCCCCTTCCCCTTCAATCCCCCCCCCCCCTACACATCTCCCTCATCTGCTGGAGAGAAACTGAAGCACCACTTCAAGCCAGTGCTATTATTTGCTCCTTTCAGGGGCCCTGGCCCCTGAAGTACTGCACTCAGTTAGGACCTGTAATGTAGATTCCATTTCAGCTGCTATTAGGCCTCATCCGTTACAGCAGAGCGGCCTGTTCGTTATTACTCCACTGCTCTCTCCATCCTCCGTGTCTCCCCCCCCCCCTCTGTTTTTTGTTCTGCCTTCCCTCCACTCATCCTCTCATTCCTCCTTGCTCCTTCATCCATCTGTCCCCCTATCCCATCCTGCCATCTCTCCACTCCAGCACTCATCTGACCACCCCGGTTTCTTCCTCCCTCCCTCCCTCCCTCCACTCCACTCCACTCCCATTCCCAGCCATGCCCCCAGGGGAGCCATGCAAACTGCTTATTCAACAATCGGCCGCCATAAAGATATGTAATGACATTTTCGAAGGCAAAGAGGCCTGTGTGGTTTTTAATTCATATTTAATGGCTGTCAGGCTAAATAGCCCACTATCCTAAATGGGAGAGAGGCTGGTGCTCTTCCACTTAAGACTGAGGGCCGTCTGCCTGTGGATATCTGCTGGCTGTCCAGAGCCACTGCCTCTTTCTGGTTGTTCTCCTTTTGGGTAATCACTCTCCATACGAGACACAAGCTGATGAAGCTTGAGAATGCATTATCTTACAGCAAGAAGTAAAAGAAAAAAATATCCCACGTCGTGACCCAATTCCAATTCCACGTCCCCGCTAACTGGTTTGGGATGGAACTAAATATGACGGACCCTCCACGCGAACCCACAAGAGGAGTGGAAGTGGGTAGGGAGAGCTTGTAGGTTCAGTGGGGGGGTCATTAGGCCCTTCACGATAATTATGTCGTTGACTTATCGTACGATACATGGACATGACCTCGATCATTTTTGCAGATCTCGTAAACAACGTAACACAAGTGCGAAAAACACATACGAAAAAATCCCTAACGGACATGAACATGTTCTCCTGATTGAAAGTCCTGTGTTTGTTCGACCCGCCCTGTTTTTCAGTCTTTGTACTACATCATTACACACACACACAGTAAATACCTTCCTCTGAAATGTGGTGAAGCATCAAATGGATATACTCAAGTAAAGTACAAGTACTTCAAAATTGTACAGCACTTGAGTAAATGTACTACCTGGGAACATATATGCACCGAGCAGTTTCACCAAAGACATTATTCCAGAAACTCTGCCAGTACTTCAACTTCTACTTTAAAACCACTCTGATTATTTGTTTACCCTTTCCCAAAATTGAATGTGATTGCTATGTACCATTAGAAATGAACACATGACAATCAGAGTCATTATGTTGGCTTTAGTAGCTGCTCTTATTGACCAACAATAGGTAAGTAGGTAGTTGTTTGGTATCATAATTCAGCAGGATGTCTCTGTTCAGTCTGGTCCTGTGCCTTTTACTTTCCGTTCTGCTCCTCAAGGGCAATTATTTGCTGTTATTTTCTGACTAATAGTTCATTTTCTTTCCATAGAAGCTAAATTACTATATTACCCTCATTTCCAGCATTTTAAGGTGACACAGTCAACATTTGTATGCTTTAGTTTATGTACAGAAACAGCTTTTATGTGCTGTTCATTTTAAACCTGCGACAATTCCGTCTTTCCTGTCGATGAAAAACAAACTGAAAAACATTTTAAACGTGCTTAGCTCTACAGATGTCAGCGTTGGTCGCTCCACCACTTTGGTCTATACTGAAATATCTCAACTATTGGATGGATTGCCATGAAATTCTCACATTCATAGATCCCAGAGGATGAATCCTACTGATTTCTATTGGTCTTTGGTTTATGACAAAATGTTTGCAAAACTAATTACATTCTCATCAGCCTCTTTCATACTTTAGTGCTAATTTGCAAAAGTCAAACTAGATGGTGAACATGGTAAACATTATACCTGCTAAAAATCGGCGTGTTGACAGATTTTAGTGAGCTGCAGACGCTTAATCTTATTTCAGTTTTTCCAGACACAACAGACGAAGGCTCACATTTATTTTTCCTGTCATCACTCTCCGGGCTTTTCTCTCTCACTGTGAGAGCTCAGTCGATGCCCGCCGCTAACCTCAGTCCAGGGAGGAGCCCTTGAGGTTTAAGATGTTGGACTGCGTGTGGACTTTTTCCCCTGGCCCACTGGAAAATATGAGGGAGGGAGAATTGATCTCTTCCCATTTAGGAGTCACTGCTGCTAAGCATGGCAGCAATGAAGGTGCAAAGATCCAGCCCAGTACCTTTTGGCAGTTTGAGAATGAAATGGTTTCGAGTACATCGACACAAATTGTCTATTTTTTTCCTGTCGCTCAGCATGAAAACAGTGCCGATGGAAAGTCAATTAGGACCCTTTTTTCGTGGTGAACAATAATTAGATGCATTCACGTGACTATGCAATGGTAAAAGCTAGTTACGTAGTATTAATCATCAACAAAGACAACTTGTTGTGGGTGACAGGGGAGGTGGATGGGTCCAACACACACAGGACTTTC